CTCACTGTACCCAGTGAGGCTGGAATTCTGTTTGGGGTTTATAGTTAAGTGTTATTGTAAGTAAATTTAGTGTAGCTCACCATAATCAGCTGGGTTTGATTAATTTGGTCTGGTTGGTGTTCTAGGGGCTGTCTGATTGTTTATTTCTCCCTGTTCACCTGGAGGAGCAATAGGTAATAGAGGTGGGAGCAATTATTCAGCAGATTAATAATCATGTAGCCCCAGCCAATCTCTAGGAGGGTCAACATAGAGGATTCTGTGAGAAAGCATAAATATCTTGGAGCAGAGAGGTCATCTTCTGCCCAAGGGGAGACCATCACCTGGGGGTTCATTGGCTTTCCAGGCAAATCCTGCCATGTGCCTATTGAGCAGAGGCCCCAGCCATGAGGCTGGAAGACCTGGAGGTGCTGTTTGCTGTTGTAGGCTGGCTAAGAGGGCTGTTGTCTGAAGATCTAGTATGAGACCACTAAGCGAGTAGCTGTCGGCAGGATACTGGTGGGAGGCAAGCTTTTATCCAAAGGCACTGTGTGAATACAGGCTGGAAAGATCCTACAGACTGAGTGCTATCACCCCTCTTATGTGCTAGAAAGTTAGCTTTGTGTCTGCTAAGAAGTTTGTATTGAAAAGCATAGCTGATACATTCCACAGGAAGGTGCTGTTGCTTGGACTGTTCACCAAGGAAGGTTTAACTCAATTCTGCTTTGCAGAATCTGCCCTCTTCCTGCTACACAGGGACAATGCTGTAAATGCAGAGTTCTAACTTTCAACAAACAAGTCCAGTATCCTCAAAGTTTCATAACTGCAAGACATTGGAGCATCCAACTTTCCCCAATCCCCATCCAAGTTCATCCCAAAAATAAAACAGCAAAAAACCCAAACACCCTAGACTGTTTCTTGAGCCGAGAGAGGGCACTTGCATATGTGCCAGGCTGTGGGGCAATACTGGCAAAAGACCTTGGGACCTACAAACGGCTCGCCTCTACGGGGATCCCACTATATTTATTTTTCATTTAATACAGAAAATGTTAAAGCAATATTAAACCCAAGAACAAACAATATAATGCAGCTTACCAATTCTTAGATGTTATGGATACATTAATTTTCTATTTTTATGCGTTTTGGCTTTTATTTTCAATTGGTGATCCAGCCAGTATGTCTGTTTTTTTCAAAGGAACAAATTCTCTTGCAGATGTATCAGTTACATGAGACCATTTAACACTGGCAGGGGTACTTACAATAGTCAGTTTTTATTTACCTTTATACCAAAGGGCCCATTTACACTACAACAGAGAGCTGCATTATTCTGTATAAGAAAAATGCAGCTCTCTACAAGGGCACACAAAAAACAATGGTTTTCTATGTGCCTCATTCACACTTCCTGCAGCTGCACTGTGCCAAAATGCACAGAAAACACCTGCAGCAGGGGGAACCTGACAGTCGGGGGTGATCCGTGTGGCAGGGGCAGTTACAAAAAAAAATCTGTCTATATGGCTCTACATGAAGCAGCTGAAATCCGCATCTCCTCTTTTCCCTCCTGTGGCTTTCAGTTGTTTCATGGAGGGCCATACAAGGAGATCGGTTTCTGTAATTGCCCCCTTCCCCCCCCCCCCCACTGAACCGGTCCCCCTGAATGTCCTGACTTCCCCCTGCTTTGCGGCCCCCGTGTAGGCTCCCCTCTCGCCCCCCTGCTTCCCTTCCCTCCTCCCAACGGCTAGTGCTGCAGGGAATGCTTTAATTATGGAGAGCGAAGAAGAGGCCAGTAAATATGTCATTTACTGCCCCCTTCCTTGTCTGTTCATTCATAACTGAAGCATAATAAACTGCATTTACTTCGCTTCCGGTTAGGAATGGACAGGAGCCTCCGTCTCCTGTTCATTCATCTGCAGTGCAGCTGAGGCTTAAGAGAATGGACCTGGAGACCTGCATCTGTGTTAATACAGTTACTGTGTCCCCATAGCATAACACTGGCTGCCTGCACACAGCTCCAGCCATATAAAAAAAAAAAATCTGGTTCGCACTGTACAGGCCACAGCACCCATGTGAATGAGCCTCAAGAGCTCATACAGAGCATACAGAGCTTTATTTCACATACAGAGCTTTATTTATTAACTTAATACAGTTTTCCATTTTAGATGTAGCAGGAATTTTGTAATTTATGTTGTGTTTGATTTTAGTGTATTTTTCTGTGAAGAGGAAATGATGACACAGGAAATAGTAAGAAAACACAGAAAAAAAAAAAAAGCAGCCAAAAAGTAGTATGACTTTAAAAAACACGCATAAAACACAGCTAAATGTAAATGCTCCCACGTGAGTTTTTACCTGCATTGTTTATTTGCAGAAAGATGATAAAATTCTTTGTAACTCAGGGAACATGATACTCTTCTACCACCAGGGGATGAAAACTGAAATTGCAGGGATATAAAAAGGCACCAAAAAAAGTAGACCTTTCCCCACTTTTGCTAAAATTACATCAGCTTACATCTCTGTATGTATCATCTAATTTTTTTTTTATTTTTTGATTTACTTTCCTTCTTGCGTCTACTTCTTGCCCCAAGCACAGAGATGATCTTTGGGAAGGCAATGTCATTGGTTCTGTCAGGGAGATCTCATACCTGATCTGTGAGATCTCAGTATAGCTCGCACTATTGTTGTGAAAACGTGACAGAACAATGAAACGTGACTTACAATGCTTCATGCACAGTACAACAAAAATGCAGGTTGTGGTATGATGTATATTTTATAACCGACTCTTCTTCAGTAGTTAAATTTGCTGCAGAATTGGGGTGCAGTGCAAGTCAATAAAAAATAATTTGTGAAAATGCTGCAAATAAGCTTTTAAAATATTTTTGTAGTTCTTTTACATGATTTTTTTTTTCTATGTGACCGTGTTTCTTTGACGATGAACCCCTCTATATAAAACAGGGTGCATAAAAATCAATGATTTAAAAAAAAAAAAAAAAAAAAAAAGTCGGATTTTTTTTATTTAAATCTGATTTTTTTTTAATAAAATGCTTTTTGAGGAAAATATATTACCATCCAAAGGTCATTCCATCATGAAATAAAGATTAGTTTTTTATTTATGTAGAATAAGGCTGTATATGTTTAATTGTTTTGGTAAATAAATTCCATTAATCCATTCACAATGTCATGCTCTTCCAGAGGTTTTGTAACATTATTGGGCAGTTTCTCTGCCTACAAGATATTATCACAGATGCTTGGTTTACTTTTGCAGTTCTCAAAACTGAATTTGACTCAGCGGAGATCACATGCCTCTTCTTCACAGCAAAAATGTTATAACATGAACAGAGTTAAGAAAAAGACCTTAATCCTAACTTCTACAAACCTATGAATACAGAATCAACCCCTTCAGTGCTAAGTTTCAAGAAGTTCAGTGAATAGAATAGAAACAATATTTTTCTGATTGTTTGGAGTGGAATAGATCTGCACAAGAAGAAAGTGAAACTAAGTGTGAGGAGGAAGGGGCTGACAGTCTAAGTTTATTAAAATATATATATTTTGTTTAGCCAAATTAGTTAAACATGGATGTTTGTTTAAGCAAATCACATATGCTGGAATGTTATTGTTTCAGTTGAATAAATCTATTTAAATTGTTATTATTAAGGTAATGATTATTTTTCTCCTTCCTAAGTACAACAGAAAAGTTGTCCAAATATGAATGATTAACCTATTAAAACTGGGGATAAAAAAACTAATATGAAAAGTTGTTATTCTAAAAATCTTCATCTACTTGCATATTAAAGTTTATACCAGCAAGAATTAGTCTATGTAGAAAACTAGGATTTAAATCAAGCCTTACTGACTAGTGATTTAAATTAGTTTGATTTAAATCAAATCCACCCTGATATAAAATGTCAACAATCTGTGAAACAGTGCACCTATATAAGTACATTGAGGTTTTTATGTAGAGATTCACCAGATTTTGCACTCTCTGATTTTAGTAAATTAAGCCCATTGCATACAAGCCTGAAGTGTGACATCCCTGCATATTGAGCACCCCCCTCATCTACACTTACCCTGCAGAGCAAATTCACATCCCTACCAGCGAGGCACCAGTCGAGTCCCTATCAGGACTACCCTTCTCGTCACCTTCATTTACCCATGGGATACCTTTGAAGAGCACAATATCACAAATCTCCTCCAGGGATACCAGACTACGTATAGATCCAGTGCTGTCTTATACATATATTTTTTTTTTTCCTCTAGCACATGCAGAGGTGGAGACATCACCTTGGGGTTCAAATGGAATCCAATTGGTAACAACTAGAATCTTAGCACAGTAAAGCACAGACAAACTCCAGATCTGATAATGAGTATAATTGGTTATTTTTTCCTACACAACTAGTGATTGGGAGCAACCTGTCATTTTGTTCCCCTGTAAAATGGAAGCGCAACTAAAAAAAAAAATGTAGGTAGGAGATACAGAAAGTAATACATTACAGTAAAATTCAAGCCTAAACCTAATTAGTTTTAAAAATGTTCCTTTCCCTCTCCTAACACCTATGCTGATTATAACTTTTTTTTTTTTTTTTCTATGGTTGGACTTTTGTCTTTTTTCAGCCAGACTAACTATGTAACCTGTTGAATAAAGATGTACATACTTACCTATTTTCAGCTCGCTCTGGTCCAGTCATGTGATCCGGCTTCCCTGTGTGACTCAGCAGCTGCTGCAGGGGAGAGAAGGGAGCGCCGACAACAGCTGGGACATGGGAACCTATGAGTGACATCATTGCTCCTGGAATTCCTGGCCATTGTCAAGCGCTCTCTCCTCTCCCCTGCAGCTGCCACTGGCTGACACAGGGGAACATATGACTGGGCCAGAGTGCGCTGAAAATAAGTAAGTATACACGTTTTTTAACACAGATTAGTCAGCATAGATGTTAAGAGGAGGGAGGGGACATTCTTAAGAATAGTTAGGTTTAGACTGGAATTCTACTTTAAGTTGCCCAGCAAAAGCCATAGACACCAGTGGTACCACCTCTTCACTTTGCAAGTTCTGCCAGTCTGTTCAATTCCTGTGACAGAGCCGTAACAGTCTCCAGAACTCGCACCCGGTCCTTTGCAAGCAGACGAGTGCCACATCTCTGCATAAAGCGATCCGGATGCCAAGTCACTCTCTGTGCCCGCATGTAGCGCTTATATGATGTGATGTCCGAGGAGTCTGCACCCGCTGCTACGAACTGCGCCATCTGCTCTGCAGTGCCACCTGGAACTGGCCAAGGGATGTCCTTGTAGCTCAACATACGGATAACCGTCCTTGTATCTGCGTTCAGGGCACTGTCATTGTCAGTCCTATCACGACTTCTTTCTGTTGGCTCACCGCTATGCTTTGAGTCAGCCTCAAGGCTTGCACCCGCTCCCCCGAACACCTCCTGGCATTTCCTGTGATACCTCTCACTCTGAGCCTGGTGCAGTTCTCTTTCCATTTGTTCTTTTCTTTCCTGGTATCTCCGCTCCTCCACAAGCCTGGGGGTGTCCTGCGAAGTCACAACTTTAGTCTGTACACTTAAATTATCATAACGGCGATTTCTGGCATGGTACTCTCTGTAGATACGATCGGCCCATGATTCAAAGCTTTCCATCTCAGGAACTGAATCCAAGTAGTCGTCATCTTAAAGAAAACAAAAATTGTGTTATATAAAATGACAAATGTATCAGAAGTTGTTTTGAAGATTGTGCAAAGTGGGTCATTTGCATGTAGTAAGGTTTGGTTCACAGCAACAAGTGTGACCAAGCATGGCCACGTTCCTGAACATCACATGTACGGCAGTCCAGTCATTGGAAAGGGTTACCCTACGTGCGAGAGAGGTGGAAAAGAAGTCCCTGACCTTTTTAAAAACTGCATGACACCATGCAGTTTGGTATACACAAAAAACACAAGCGTTTGCAGATGCGTGGGGGTGTCATTAACAATTGATGGCACTGCTGCCCATCTGCTAAATGCCAGTGTGGTCCTCTAGCAGTTGTGCACATGTTCCCAACACACAAAGGACTGAACCTAGCCTAAGACTGGAATGACACTGTATGCAATGCATTTAACAAGCATTAATGCATGTTAAACACACGTGTTAAAAAAGAAAAAAAACAGGTCGCACTGTCCTCATGCCTTACCGTGGTAAAAATTAATTTAATATAAAATGAAAAATGCATAATCACAAACCAACAGGTCATGAAAACAGAGACAGAGAACCAAAGGTGTCGGTCCCAGAAGGAAGGGAGTTAAGACTCCCGAAACGCACTAAGTTTTTCACCAAAGGACCCCCCGCTGCCTGGGACCGACACCTTTGGTTCTCCGTCTCTGATTTTATGACCTGGTGGTTTGTGAGCAGGGGTGGACTGACCATTTGGAAACTCGGGCACTGCCAGAGGGCCCGGGGTCAGTAGGGGCCCCATGAGATGCCCCTGGTACCTTTTTCATAGGCTTTTTTGAGTTTGGGCAAGGACACAGGGGGTGGATCCCCTATTGCCCGGGGGCCCCATGAGTTGTCAGTCCGCCGTTTGTGAGTATGCATTCGTCGTTTTATATTAAATTTGGTTTTACCACAGTAATGCATGAGGAGAGTGCGCCCTGTTTTATTCTTTCTTGCTAGTATCAAGATTCCCGGATCTTTAGAGAGGCCGCACCTTAGCGAGTGACAGATTCCGTTTTCCTGTTTAGCATGAAGATTTGAGCACTGGTTCTGGCTATATGTTGGAGTTTTACACGTGTCGAGGTGCATTGTTTTGCAGGTTTTTACCATGTTGTCTGGCTGTACATTTTTCTTTTTTCACAGCAAAAACCACATTACTTTTGTCCAAATGCATGTTGCAGCGTGTTTTTCTGCTTTCAAATGCAGCATGTCCTATTTTCACCCACTGGGTGAAATTAAAAACAATGGAGGGAATTAATCAAAACTGGAGCAACTAGCATCTGAAAAATGGTCCAACGTCACGTCCACTAGGCCAGGCCCAACGCGTTTCGCCCCTTTAAGACGTCAAGTGACGAAATGCGTTGGGCCTGGCCTAGTGGACGTGACGTTGAAACGTTGCTCCCAACTGTCGGCTGTGTTGATCGCAGTGCAGGCCTGGTTCGTGAGCGTATTCGTTTCATCTGGTGTCGGATTTGCACATGGGTGTTTGTTTTCAAGATTGACATTAAGTTAATATTGGACTATCACTGTTATGGTGGCTGGACTTATGTTTATATTTATGAATTCATTTATTTTTATTATTTATCCTTGCATGTTTTGTGAATAATTAGCGCACTTTTTATTTGTACACCATTTTACCTTTTTTGGTTAGAGGTGCTGCTTATTATTTGATTTATTTTGCATTTTCTGTGGCCCTTCTTATATCTGCTACATAGCATCTGAAGAAGCTGTAGCAACCAATCAACTTCTAGCTTTTATTCTCAACACTTAATAGAACAAGCTGAAGGTGAAGCCAATTGGTTGCCATCCACAGCAGCTCCAATTTTGATAAATTCTCTCAAGTGTATGTTTGCTTGTTGTTACATTGGGCCTGCACTGAACAATGCTGCCCAACACACATGGTGATGAATGAGCCCTTAATAAGCAGTGTATTGGGCTTTAAGAGCACACTGGTCAAAATTCCAGTTGATCTTCCCAGGAATGCAGTGTCCTTGTCTCATGACATGTTTGAAGTCAAGCCTGTGTGACAACCATAGTTTCCTCCATTTCCACAGTGAAAAAGTAGTCATCCAGGACAGGCGGTGTGTTATTCACAGGATTATCAGGTGAAAATAACATACAAAAAGCTTGAAAAAAAAAAAAAGAAAAAAAAAACTAATGCACTCACTACATCTAACGATTGGTAAGCTGTAATATATTACATTTTTAGTTTTGGGTAACTGTCAATGAGTAGGTCTAGCATTTATAAGTATTTATTGATCCCCACAGTACCCCTCCATAAGGGCGAATGATATTTCTTCAGACATCACCTATTCACAACCTACTTTCTGGACTGAGATTGTGGCTCAGAGATGACACCATCAGCAAGCATCACATACGTCATTGCTGCTTTTCACATATAAACCTGTTCTAAACACTTGTCATGGGCTAGTATCTGTCCCATGGAGTTCAATGTGTATGTTTAAAGGAGTTCTGTTTACCCAATGGCAAATTAAGCAATTAAGTTTAACCCTTTCGCTGCCAGAGCCGTTTTTGCATTTTTTTTTTTTTGCACATTTAAAAAAAAATCATTTTAGGCCTGATGATTATACAAAACCCCCAAACATTATATATTTTCTGAAAGCAGACATCCTAGAGAATAAAGAAAAAGGTAGTTTTTTTTTTATGGTACACAATATTACAGGAAAGTTCTAGGAAATACAAAATTTCTGAAGTTGCATTAATGTAAACTAATGCAATAAATCACCCAAATGGGTAACTGCGTGAATGGACAAATGCTTCCGCCTGTCAGGCGGGAGTCTGCTTGTCACTTTTACGCACTATCCCTGCAGCCACCGTATTGGGTGTAAAACTCCCTGCTGTCAGGTTCGTATTATGTACGGAACTAACAGCGAAAAGATTAAAGTGATATTAAAGGCAATTTTTTTTTTTTTTGCAAATAACAAACATGTCATACCTGCTCTGTGTAGTGGTTTTGCACAGAGCAGCCCCAATCCTCCTCTTCTCGGGTCCCCACCAGTGTTTTAGCCCCTCCCTCTTGCAAAGTGTCCCCACAGAAAGCAGGTTGCACCCAAGCAGGCTCGGTCCCGAGCCGCTGCTCTGCATGTCCATCCACACACAGAGCCGTGTGGCTCGGCCCCGCTCTCTCTCTCCAAATTGGCTCACTTTCTCAGCCAATGAGGAAGGAGAGTCCACGGAGAGCCAGCCGAGGCCTTCGCGCACACAGAAGGTCGCTGGATCGCAATGGGGAAGTCAGCTAAGTATTACGGAGCCTTTACAAACACTTTAAACACAAAAAGGTTTTTTTGCCTTGGTAAGGTATCAAGCACAAACCTGCAGAGTAACATTGCCATGTTTCTATTGAACTCACCATCATACTGCCCATACATCTCTTGGTATTCATCCATGCTCTCAGCTAAAAGCTTTTCTCTCCACTCTGTTGTCTCCTTAGGTGAGGGACCCATACGCGACTCAGGGAGCTCTGTTTTTCTCTTGCATATCTCTCCTGTAATCCCAGAGAAAAATATCTTAAAACTTACGCAAACCTAAGCAGTGGTCTCTTTGTAGAGGTCTAACAAATGTCTTCTGAGTAAGACCAAGAGCCCTTCAATCAGCATGACCTTTGATTGCAGAGCAAGAGGACTGACTCCACAATAGGGTGTTTTAGGATGTTTTTATTTTTTAAAAAATAATAGATGTTTACGATATACAGTGATTAGCAAACTAAATGTATTTTGGTATGGTTTACATGTACCTTAACCACTAGCCTACAGGGCACATATACCCCACTTCCTGCCCAGGCCAATTTTCAGCTTTCAGCGCTGTTGCACTTTGAATGACAATTGCGCGGTCATGCAACACTGTACCCATATGAAATTTTTAGCATTTTTTTTAGACAGATAGAGCTTTCTTTTGGTGGTATTTAATCACCTCTGAGTTTTTTATTTTTTGCTAAACAAACCAAAAACAAGTGAAAATTTTGGAAAAAAACGTTTTAGTTTTTGTTTCAAAACAATTGAGTACAACACCGTGATACTTTTTTTAAACATACAATTTTGAACAAGCTTTCGGGGTATTTTTCTCCAGTACTATTAAAAATCACAAAGTTTAAGATGTTAGTGGATAATGAGGCTTGCAGTGATTGGGGACACTGATAGGTCTGCACTGATGGAGAACTGAAGAGGAGGCACTGGTAAAATTTTGTGAGCACTGATGGGCACTGACAGACATCACTGATGGGCACTGAAAGGCAGCACTCATATATGGCACTGACTGAGAAGGCACTGGTAAGGCACACTGATAGGCATTGACAGACTGACTGATGGGCACTGAAAGGTGACTCTGAAAGGCAGCTGGCACTGTTAGGCAGCACTGATAGGTGGCACTGACTGGCATTGATAGGTGACCCTGAAAGGCAGCTCAGATGGGCACTGATATGTGGCATTGATGTGGCACTGGTGAGCACTGACAGCTGACATTGACGGGCACTGACAGGTGGCACTGCTGGGGCTACACTGATCATCAGGGCACACTGATCATCAGTGCCCTGATGATCAGTGTACATGTCCCCCTCCGAGGAAAGCCGATTACCGGCTCTCCTCTCCTCTCGAGCTGACCGCTCGTGAGGACAGAAATGCCGATAACCGGCATTTCCCTATTTACATGCGATCAGCTGTGATTGGACACAGCTGATCACATGAAGAGCCGACATCTTCGGCTCTTTCCGTTGATTGGTGATCCGCTGTGTCCGAGGGACACAGTGCACCACCGATCGCCGCGCTGCGCGCTCCCAGAGCCGCATACGCACGGTTAGAGTGGGAGGACGTCATGTGACATCCTCCCAAGAACGAGAGAACCACCTTGCACCCGTCATTACCCAAAATGGCGTGCAGGAGGCGGTTAACATACATCCGGTATGAGAGAAGTATGGGGCTTGATAATGCTGGTTTCCTCCTGAAACTCCCGTTGGCCACAGATCGGCCCCCCTAAAAGTCTGAAGACCAGTAAACTGGCCCTGTGTTTAGAAAGTTTGGAGACCCCTGTTTTAGAGCAACAAAAAGGTAGGAATCTGCTACAATGTTTGTTATGGTCCCAGCAGAGTACATTGATCACCCAGGATGGGATGTTTTTTTTCTCAGTAAAAACGGAGTTACTCTACTTTGGACCAATCTACAGTTGTGCATCACTGCCAAAGAAAACCGCTTACCATGAGGTCTTCTGCCTGGCGGAGGATTTGACGTGGAGTTGTCCCCTGCTTGTTTGGAACGTCAATTGCCTGAGGACAACGTTTCAGAATTGGAACCCACAGGTCTGTGTACACTGAGGAGAGAGAATGAGGGATGAGAAAGTCAGAAATATAAAAGTAAAAACAAGTAGCAGAGTGGCAGGGAGCAAACACTCAAAGTAGATGGAAAGCCAACATATCACCAAGGCCCCCTATTTGAACCTCTGTTATGGTTTTGTCATTTTCTTATGTGAAATCGATGAAAATTTACATTGAACTAATATATTTGTATGTCTTTATATGAGGTAATGTCTGCAATCCTGTTACTGGTCCTTTCCTTGGTGAGCAGTGGGCAGGTTCACTGACAAAGTAAAAGGGAGGGAGGAGCTGGACAGTGAAGGAAATAAGTATTTGATCCCCTGCTGATTTTAAATGTTTGCCCACTCACAAAGAAATGATCTAAAAATTGAATGGGTGTATTGTAACACCGAGAGACAGAATAGCAACAAAAAATTCAAAAGAAATGCATGTCTAACAAAAGATGCACTAATTTGCATGTTCATGAGGGAAATAAGTATCTGATCCCCTATCATTCAGCAGGATTTCTGGCTACCAGGTGTCTTTCATACAGGTAACAAGCTGAGATTAGAAGCAGTCTCTTAAAGGGAGTGCTGCTAATCTCATTTTGTTACCTGTATAAAAGACACCTGTCCACAGGAGCAATCAAACAATCAGATTCCAAACTCTCCACCATGGCAAAGACCAAAGAGCTGTCCAAGGATGTCAGGGACAAGATTGTAGACCTACACAAGGCTACTGGGCTGGGCTACCAAACTATCGCCAAGCAGCTTGGTGAGAAGGTGAAAACAGTTGGTGCAATCATTCACAAATGGAAGAAACACAAAACAACTGTCAGTCTCCCTAGATCTGGTGCACCATGCAAGATCTCACCTCGTGGAGTGTCAATGATCATGAGAACAGTGAGGAATCATCCCAGAACTACACGTGAGGATCTTGTCAATGATCTCAGGCAGATGGGACCACAGTCACCAAGAAAACAATTGGTAACACACTACGCCGACAAGGATTGAAATCCTGCAGTGCCCGCAAGGTCCCTCTGCTCAAGAAAGCACATGTTCAGGCCCGTATGAAGCACTGTATGTGCCTATCAGGTTTGCATGTTGTCGCAGCTCAGACAAATAACAGCATACACTGGAGCAGGGTTTCTCTACCTTTTCTCAGTCAAGGCACCCTTTAAAGTTATGAACAATCTTTAGGCATCCTTTAAAATTGTGGACAGTCTCAAGGCGCCCCATTCTAAAATGTAGAAAAACTATTCTATTAGTTTTACCTAATGCAGAAACACCCACACATGTAGGACACCAAATGTTAGAGGGGTTTTATTCTTCCAAAACAAATACACTTTTTCATACGGATACTGAATAGTATTCTAATGTTCGAAACTCACGGGGACCCCAAAGAAACAGACAACCTGACAGGACCCCTCTCCAAATAAACAAAAGTTTACTATGCTTCAGTTATGAATGAACACAGTAAGTGATTGGTACCAATCATTCATTGTGTTCATTCAGGAAAGGCAGGGGCGGATGTGGCATATTTACCGAACCCTTCCCCTGCTCTCCATCCTGAAGGATCCTATTGTGTGCTTTCGGTCACTGCAGGAAATGCTCCGTTGGAAGATTTCCCTTCTTTTCCTGTTCTGGGGACAACCCATAGTTTGGGTTTTCACATTTCTGAACCAGTGATAATAGCCATCAGAACAAATAGAGAGATCACCTTAATAGAGACACAGACATCAGTAAAAAACTTGACAGGGGTTCTAACTCATCACCACTCTGTCAATACCTTGAAAAACAAGTTTTGTCTTTGGATACAAATTAATAATTTCTGAAAGGATAAATTTACCCACCTAAAAAAAAAATAAAAAAAATAAAAAAAATTTCATTCTAGGTAAAAAAAAAGAAAAAAGTATTTATGTATTTTATTTTTTAGGAGCCTGTAAAGCATTGCACCCGTGCTCAGCACATCCGATGGACAGTTAGCAAATTCCATCTGGAAATTTCTATATGCAAAAGCAGATAAGGTGCCTTAAAAAAAAAAAAAAAAAAAAAAAAAAAAAAAAAAAGAGAAACCAGCACACAAGCCCTCATCCTCAAAGGGAACTGTGAAAAATAATTGAGTGAGAAGACCCAGCTGTGGAACAAAGACAATGCATCGCACAGAGAGGAGTAAGCTGTAGAAGCTGGAGATAAACAAGGCCCGTTTTCATAAAAGCCCTTATTGGAAAGAACGGCAGGTCTGACAACCTGAAGTGGGACAAGGTAGAGGTAGAATATCTAGTTAGTTGCCCCAGGATACCACATCTACTTCCCAAGCAACCAATTCCTTGGGTGCAGGTGGAAGCAAAAGGTGACAAAAACCCTTCCTTAAAAAAAAGAGAGGAGTTTGCTTATGGGAAGGGGTGCATGCTCGAAGGTCAGGAACCCTTTATTAATCAAGAGAAATAAGGTGAGGTGGGGGGATCTGAACTGTCAAAGCCAGCATAAAACGTCCATATGCTTTAGGGCCAAATATTTCCCCCTGGCTCGCAAGAGAGATACTAGGGTTTACCATTCCTCTAACACAGTGGTTCTTAACCTGGGTTTGATCGAACCCCAGGGGTTCGGTGAGTCAGTCTTGCGGGTTCGGCGGAGGTGAAGACCCACACCCGACTCATATGATTCGTGCAGTAAATATTCATTATTATGTTTTTGTGTGAAAATCATGTTTTAATGGTTTTGTTCTTTGTTCTTAACGGTTTTGTTCATTTTGTGCACCTATGTATAAATATATACCTAAATATATACCTATGTTTTGAATTTTAAAAATCATATTTTATTTTTCCAATTAAGAAGGGTTCGGTGAATGCGCATATGAAACTGGTGGGGTTCAGTACCTCCAACAAGGTTAAGAACCACTGCTCTAGCAAGAAGTCAGAAGAGACTAACAATTCCTTCTTCATCCTCCTCATACTGAGTAACCGTGTATGCAGAGTTACCAAGAGAAGGGGAAAACAGAGGTCCAGCTACAGAACAAATCTGTAGGTACAACTCCAGATTGGAAAATCACACAGTTCACAGAATTCTAAAATGAAGCAAAAGTGTCAAATACCAACACCTTTGGAAAACCAGCTCTGAAGATTGAGAGCTAGAAACCCTCACGAATTTCATGGTGCCCTCAGTGAGCTGAACTACGCATGACAAGGGCCTTATTAAAACAATAGCTAATGTGCTTTGGTACCTTGGCTGGAACCCGACGTCGCAATAGCAGGTGGGTATGAAGAAACTTGAGGAAAAAGGTTTTACAACTACTGGTGCACTGAAGCAAAGAACAAAAAGACAACAGAAATCTAAATAGGTGCCCACCCATCAAGCTAACCCAGGGAGGAAAAAGTGGTAGGAAACACACTGCACCCCCCCCCCCCCCCGGACCACTACCAAGGTGACACCCAAACTCTAGACAACAATGTCCCTAACGTGATGTGGCACGACAGGGAGTGATTTACTGGCTCTTGGTTTAGATGTGATCACTGCTGCCACTTTCAGGCCACTGTCCACCGTCGTGATGGGATGGTAGCAGAGATCCCTCTATGCTGTCCTGGCCTGTATATCATGTTGGCCCACCTGCAATTACAACATCTTGGCCTGCCAGAAAGGACATATCTCACTTCCTAGTCCAAGGCTTGGGCCACACACACCAACCAGGCTACCAGCCTCAGCCTAAGCCACTGCCACCATGCTCCTCCAGGTGGACAAGGCACTGCCACCATGCTCCTCCAGGAGGACAAGGCATGAGGTACAGGGGGATACAGGACTCTGCCCCCACAAAGCATAAAAGGGTCAAAGTTCTGGAAAAAGAAAATTGGGGAATCCTCCTAATATAGCAAGCAGTCCCAGATACCATGGGCCCAAGAAATCTACCTCTGAAGAGGGCCTAATGACCATCTAGGCTAGAAGAAAACTACAAACTTTTGTGCTGCTTCAAAGTCCAAACTGATCTTCGAGGGGGTGGGAGAGTTTTTTCAATGTTCTCATTGTGTTTCCTGTAGAGGGAAGTACCAATTATCCCTCAGCTTACTGTCCTGGAAGATGACTGGAGATATTTTCTTTTGCAAGGTTTCCAAAATACAGTATATTCTTCTATATCTTTGCACAGAAATCAATTAGATGCAAGTGACCTGTCTGCTGTGCTAAGACTTTACAACTACTGGAAGAGAATGCGTCATTTTAATCGGCAACATAAAAGCTTCCATTTAGGGTTGGAGATAACCGTGACCTCTTCTTACCTCTCCATTCTCCCTTTTCCATCTCCTGAGCTGCCACATGTAGAGCATTATTTCCTACAGTGTCACATTGCATGGGGTCAGCTCCTTTACGGAGCAGTAGAAGAGCGCAGGCATTATCAGGCATTAAGCAGGCAGCATGAAGTAGGCTCTGTCCTCCTGGCAAAGGCTGGTCGAGCTGGAGATGGCGGTGGCGGCGAATATAAGACTTCAGTCGCAGAATATCTCCCTTTTCAATGTAGCGCAGAGCACGCAGTTCCCGGCGGTAAGACATGATACCTACAGAAGAAACAGAAAATCAGTATATAACTTAGGATCCAAATCAGACAGTCTGGCCCCCTGTTGACACACCACCAGATGCATTCTCTTTCAGCGGCGATACAGAACCAGAAGTATATTGAAATACGCGACATGTATATTCCAAAAGCATTCGGAGCTGAGAAGACATCATTCTCACATTACAGAAGGGGGGACATTGCAATTATGTCTAGTGCATCTAACGAGTGAAGGTCTGCTTTCAATCAGTTTAAAAAAACACCTTTTCATTGAGAAGTCTATTAAATATGAATACACACACACACACACATATACATACAAATATATATATATAATATATATATATATATAAAATATATATACACATATATACACACACACACACAAAATATAAATAATATCAGAACTTTTTCCATCTTTAATGGAACCTATAAACTGTACAGCTCAATTGAAAAACAAATCTTTTGAATAATATGGTTGCACATAATTTAAAGTGCCTCTGATTAACCCAAAATAAAGTTCAGCAATTCTAGTAGGTCTTTCCTGACATTTTCTTAGTTGCATCCTACAGCAAAAGCCATGGTCCGCACAGAGCTTCCAAAGCATCAGAGGGATCCCATTGTTAAAAGGTATCAGTCAGGAGAAGGGTACAAAAGAATTTCCAAGGCATTAGATATACCATGGAACACAGTGAAGACAGGCCTCATCAAGTGGAGAAAATATAGCACAACAGAGACATTACCAAGAACTGGACGTACCTCCAAAATTGATGAAAAAACGAGAAGAAAACTGGTCTGGGAGGCTGCCAAGAGGCCTACAGCAACATTAAAGGAGCTGCAGGAATATCTGGCAAGTACTGGCTGTGTGGTACATGTGACAACAATCTCCCGTATTCTTCATATATCTGGGCTATGGGGTAGAGTGGCAAGACGGAAGCTTCTCTTACGAAGAAAACATCCAAGTCCGACTAAATTTTGCAAAAACAGATCTGCAATCTCTCTAAAGCATGTGGGAAAATGTGTTCTGGTCTGATGAAACTAAGGTTGAACTTTTTGGCCAGAATTCCAAAAGATATGTTTGGTGCAAAAACAACACTGCACATCGCCTAAAGGACACCATACCCACAGTGAAACATGGTGGTGGCGGCATCATGCTTTGGGGCTGTGTTTGTTCAGCTGGAACTGGGGCCTTAGTCAAGGTAGAGGGAATTATGAACAGTTCCAAATACCAGTCAATATTGGCACAAAACCTTCAGGCTTCTGCTAGAAAGCTGAACATGAAGAGGAAGTTCATCTTTCAGCATGACAACGACCCAAAGCATACATCCAAATCAACAAAGAAATGGCTTCACCAGAAGAAGATTCAAGTTTTGGAATGGCCCAGCCAGAGCCCAGACCTGAATCTGATTGTAAATCTGTGGGGTGATCTGAAAAGGGCTGTGCACAGGAGATGTCATCGCAATCTGACAGATTTGGAGTGTTTTTGCAAGGAAGAGTGGGCAAATATTGCCAAGTCAGGATGTGCCATGCTGATAGACTCATAACCAAAAAGACGGAGAACTGGAATCAAATCAAAAGGTGCTTCAAATTATTAGTGTAAGGGTGTGCACACTTATGCAACCATATTATTTTTTAGTTTTCTATTTTTACTTACCTCCATCTAAAAGATTTCAGTTTGTTGTTGGACTGAGTTGTACAGTTTTTAGGTCACATTAAAGGTGGAAAAAGTTCTGAAATGATTTATCTGTGTCTCATTTTTTTACATCACAGAAACCTGACATTTTTAACAGAGGTGTGTAGACTTTTTTGTGCGCGTGTGTGTAGTGTGTGTGTCATACACGATTTAACACGGTAGAGTGTGCACTGTCCTACCTGCACTGTCATTGGCTTCCGTAGGTGTCAATCATCATCGGGTCCTGGCCAGCAGGGGTTCAATGGCTGGGACTCGGTGATCAGCTGACAGGAGAGAGATCAGTGAGTGTAAACAACACAGATCTATCTCTTGTCAATGGGGACATCCTTTTTTTTTTTTTTCTGTCTGTAATTAGGGAGATAAAAGCCAGCACATCCCCTAGAAAAACACAACACAGTACACAGTCTAATCACTTCCTTTTAACCCTTTTATCGCCCCAGATGTTAACCCTTTCCTGCCTAGTGTGATTAGTATAGCATCAGGGCTTTTATTAGCACGTATCACTGTATTAGTGTCACTGGAGAGGTCAGTGGCAGTTAGTCAGTTCCCACCCTGTGTCAGAATGCCCGCTGTACTATCGCAATCCTGCTATAAGTCGCTGATCGCCACCATTACTAGTATATAAAAGTAATAAAATTCCCGTATATATACCGCCATTTTTAGATGCTATAATTTTCATGCAAACCAATTACCGTATTTTTCGCTCCATAAGACGCACTTTTTCCCCCAAAAAAAGGGGGGGGAATGTCAGTGCGTCTTATGGAGCGAATATAAAAGCGGCCAGTCCGGTATTTCTGCCGCCACCGTGTCAGAATACCGGGCCAGCCGCTCAGCTGTTCTCTCTTGCAGGGCCTTACCTGTTCCTCGCTCCAGCGCTGCACAGTCTTCCCGCGCTGGCTTCTGTGACAGCCGGGTGCCCACTGCGCATGTGCTGCGCTTTTGTGAATGGTCCGGTGTCTTCTGGGACACATGACAGGTCCCAGAAGGCGCCGGGCCATTCACAAAGCGCAGCGCTTCTCGCACATGCGCAGTGGGCACCCGGCTGTCACAGAAGCCGGCCCGGGAAGAAGAGCGAAGGACAACTCCGCGGAAGTGGAGCGGGTACCTGTCAAATTCAGGTACCCGCTCCCCCTCCCTCCTCAAAGGTCAGCAGTCTCTGGTCATTCCCTGCACTGTCTGCAGTCTCTGGCCCATCTCCTGCACTGTGTCCGCAGTCTCTGGCCCATCTCCTGCACTGTGTCCGCAGTCTCTGGCCCATCTCCTGCACTGTGTCCGCAGTCTCTGGCCCATCTCCTGCACTGTGTCCGCAGTCTCTGGCCCATCTCCTGCACTGTGTCCGCAGTCTCTGGCCCATCTCCCTGCACTGTGTCCGCAGTCTCTGGCCCATCTCCTGCACTGTGTCCGCAGTCTCTGGCCCATCTCCTGCACTGTGTCCGCAGTCTCTGGCCCATCTCCTGCACTGTGTCCGCAGTCTCTGGCCCATCTCCTGCACTGTGTCCGCAGTCTCTGGCCCATCTCCTGCACTGTGTCCGCAGTCTCTGGCCCATCTCCTGCACTGTGTCCGCAGTCTCTGGCCCATCTCCTGCACTGTGTCCGCAGTCTCTGGCCCATCTCCTGCACTGTGTCCGCAGTCTCTGGCCCATCTCCTGCACTGTGTCCGCAGTCTCTGGCCCATCTCCTGCACTGTGTCCGCAGTCTCTGGCCCATCTCCTGCACTGTGTCCGCAGTCTCTGGCCCATCTCCTGCACTGTGTCCGCAGTCTCTGGCCCATCTCCTGCACTGTGTCCGCAGTCTCTGGCCCATCTCCTGCACTGTGTCCGCAGTCTCTGGCCCATCTCCTGCACTGTGTCCGCAGTCTCTGGCCCATCTCCTGCACTGTGTCCGCAGTCTCTGGCCCATCTCCTGCACTGTGTCCGCAGTCTCTGGCCCATCTCCTGCACTGTGTCCGCAGTCTCTGGCCCATCTCCTGCACTGTGTCCGCAGTCTCTGGCCCATCTCCTGCACTGTGTCCGCAGTCTCTGGCCCATCTCCTGCACTGTGTCCGCAGTCTCTGGCCCATCTCCTGCACTGTGTCCGCAGTCTCTGGCCCATCTCCTGCACTGTGTCCGCAGTCTCTGGCCCATCTCCTGCACTGTGTCCGCAGTCTCTGGCCCATCTCCTGCACTGTGTCCGCAGTCTCTGGCCCATCTCCTGCACTGTGTCCGCAGTCTCTGGCCCATCTCCTGCACTGTGTCCGCAGTCTCTGGTCCATCTCCTGCACTGTGTCCGCAGTCTCTGGTCCATCTCCTGCACTGTGTCCGCAGTCTCTGGTCATCTCCTGCACTGTGTCCGCAGTCTCTGGTCATCTCCTGCACTGTGTCCGCAGTCTCTGGTCATCTCCTGCACTGTGTCCGCAGTCTCTGGTCATCTCCTGCACTGTGTCCGCAGTCTCTGGTCATCTCCTGCACTGTGTCCGCAGTCTCTGGTCATCTCCTGCACTGTGTCCGCAGTCTCTGGTCATCTCCTGCACTGTGTCCGCAGTCTCTGGTCATCTCCTGCACTGTGTCCGCAGTCTCTGGTCATCTCCTGCACTGTGTCCGCAGTCTCTGCTCATCTCCTGCAGTGTCCGCAGTCTCTGTCATCTCCTGCACTGTGTCCGCAGTCTCTGGTCATCTCCTGTACTGTGTCCGCAGTCTCTGACCATCTCCTGTATTGTGTCCGCAGTCTCTGGTCATCCCCTGTACTGTGTCTGCAGTCCATTGGTTCAGAATATTTTTTTTTCTTGTTTTTCGCCTCAAAAACCTAGGTGCGTCTTATGGAGTGAAAAATACGGTACTATACACTTTTTGGGAATTTTTTTTACCAAAGACATGTAGCAGAATACATTTTGGCAAAAATGTATGAAGAAATTGTATTTTTTTTAATGGATATGTTTTATAGCAAAGTGTAGAATATATTGTTTTTTTTTCATTTTTATTTTTAGGCCAGTCAAGTTCCCCCACCCCAAACTCACTCCTCCTTGTCTTTATGGACCCAGACACGTCCATCGGATTGCCCAACAGAGAAGCGTGATTGGTCACTCCAGAGAACAAGTCTCCACTGCTCTTGAGTCCAGTGGTGACGTGCTTTACACCACTGCATCCGACGCTTTGTATTGCACTTGGTGATGTAAGGCTTGGATGCAGCTGCTCAGCCATGGAAACCCATTCCATGAAGCTCTCTACACACTGTTGTGCTAATGTGAAGGCCACTTGAAGTTTGGAGGTCTTTAGCTATTGACTCTGCAGACAGTTGGCAACTTCTGCGCACTGAGCGCTTCAGCATGCGCTGACCTTGCTCTGTCATTTTTCGTGGCCTACCCCTTTGTGGCTGAGTTGCTGCTGTTCCCAGTTGCTTCCACTTTGTTATAATACCACTAACAGTTGATCGTGGAATATTTAGTAGCCAGTAAATGTCACAGATGGACTTATTGCACAGATGACAACCTATCACGGGACCACGCTTGGAATCACTGAGCTCCTGAGAACGACCCATTCTTTCACAAATGTTTGTAGAAGCAGTCTGCATGCCTAGGTGATGATTTTATACACCTGTGGCCATGGAGGTGATTGGAACACCTGAATCCAATGATTTGGAGGGCTGGCCCAATACTTTTGGCAATATTGTGTATTGTTAGCCCAGCCTGGGTGACAACCATAGTGAAAGTATATCACCAGCACACCACAGATCACCAGAGGGGGTCCAAAACTTTATTCGGCAATCACATTAAAATAACAGAAGCAACGTTTTGGAGCCTCGCAGGACTAATTGGGCTCCAAAATGTTGCTTCTGTTATTATGTGATTGCCGAATAAAGTTTTTGTGTGCTGCAAACATGTCTGCAGTCTCTGACCGTCTCCTGTACCACGTCCGCGGTCTCTGACCGTCTCCTGTACCACGTCCGCGGTCTCTGACCGTCTCCTGTACCACGTCCGCGGTCTCTGACCGTCTCCTGTACCACGTCCGCGGTCTCTGACCGTCTCCTGTACCACGTCCGCGGTCTCTGACCGTCTCCTGTACCACGTCCGCGGTCTCTGACCGTCTCCTGTACCACGTCCGCGGTCTCTGACCGTCTCCTGTACCACGTCCGCGGTCTCTGACCGTCTCCTGTATCAAGTCCGCAGTGCCTGACCGTCTCTTGTATCATGTCCGCAGTGCCTGACCGTCTCTTGTATCATGTCCGCAGTGTCTGACCATCTCTTGTATCATGTCCGCAGTGTCTGACCATCTCTTGTATCATGTCCGCAGTGTCTGACCATCTCTTGTATCATGTCCGCAGTCTCTGACCGTCTCTTGTATCATGTCCATCAGGCATCAACAGCAAGGCTCTTACTTTCCATTCATCATACATCAGCATCAGAGGTTGGTCATCAGCTCTGAGGAAAGGGATTCGTCCCCAAAACGCGTCAGCCATTTGACCGCACTGACAGTGAGAAACACCTTGCCTGCCGTTGTGGCCATTGTCATTTTTCTATGCTTTTTAGATACATGCTTCGTCTGTGAGTATGTTTTTATTATTCTTTCACTCCTACAATAAACCTTGGATAATGCACTAGGTGTGCGTGCCACCTGTTTTCTCTCTGACCGTCTCTTGTATCACGTCCGCGGTGTCTGACCGTCTCTTGTATCACGTCCGCGGTGTCTGACCGTCTCTTGTATCACGTCCGCGGTGTCTGACCGTCTCTTGTATCACGTCCGCGGTGTCTGACCGTCTCTTGTATCACGTCCGCGGTGTCTGACAGTCTCTTGTATCACGTCCGCGGTGTCTGACCGTCTCTTGTATCACGTCCGCGGTGTCTGACCGTCTCTTGTATCACGTCCGCGGTGTCTGACCGTCTCTTGTATCACGTCCGCGGTGTCTGACCGTCTCTTGTATCACGTCCGCGGTGTCTGACAGTCTCTTGTATCATGTCCACAGTGTCTGACATAGTGTTGTCACCCTAGTATAGGAAGTGTGTTACTGTCAAGATTACCAGATGAAATGGAAAAAAAAAAAACAGCTAATGCAGCCACAACATCTAAGAATTGGTAAGCTGTGACATATTACGTTTGTTCTTGGATGTGGATACACTCTAATTCTCCTTTACCTCCAGTTCTCCTAGGCAGCCTCTATGAATTGCTCCAGCTGAGTCCTGCAGGATGTGTCTGTCATCACCACTCACCCCTGTCTGTCCTCAGCAACGATATCCACCATGGTTTACTTACATTTCCCCCTTATTCACAGTATTCAGACACTTCCGGGTGTAGTGGGAGGAGCCAAACAGCCTTTTCCTGTGCACCGCATAAGTCTCCCCGCAGCAACAATGTCGATTTGTTTTCTGCCCGGGTGAGAAAGTGGTTCCTAGAATAAAATATCACTCACAAATGTTTGTTGTAATTCTTAGTTCAGTCCCTGGATTCCAGGAAGAAGTTGTACCTGGAAAATGCCCAGCACCTCCTTCCTTCTCTCACAATTGTGTATACATATATAAATACATTATTATTATACAGGATTTATATAGTGCCAACAGTTTGCTCAGCGCTTTACAAAATGAAGGTAGACATTACAGCTACAATACAATTTGGTACAAGAGGAAGGGTTGACTGATACAAAAGATAATAGCTGTGGGGGTATGAGCTGATGGAGGAAATAAAAGGCAGATTACTAGTTAGAAAAGCAGGATAGGCTTCTATAAAGAGAAAGGTTTTCAGGGATCGTCTAAGGGTGCGTAGATTAGGAGACAGCCAGACAGATTGGGGTAGGGTAAGTCCTGGAGGCGAGCATGGGAGAAGGTGACATGGGAACTAGAGAGCAGAGGGTCTTGGGAGGATCTAAGAAAGCGGTTTGGTTGATACTTTGAGACCAGGTTGGTGATGTAGCTGCAGCGCTTTACAAAATGAAGGCAAACACTACAGTTACAATACAGTTTAGTACAAGAGGAATCAGAGGGCCCGACTCCTGGGAGATTACAATCCAGGAGGAAGGGTTGAGTGATACAAAAGGTAATAGCTGTGGAAGGGACGAGTTGATGGAGGAAATAAATGGCAGTTTACTAGGTAGGAGCAGGATAGGCTTCTTTAAAGAGAAAGGTTTTCAGGGAAAAGGTGGATAGATTGGGGGTTAGCCAGACAGATTGGGGTAGGGAGTTCCATAGGATGGGAGAAGCTCGGGAGAAGTCCTAGAGGCGAGCATGGGAGGATGCGATACGGGAACTAGAGAGCAGGAGGTCTTGGGAGGATTGAAGAGAGCAGTTTAGTAGATATTTTGAGATCAGGTTGGTGATGTAGCTGGGGGCAGAGTTGTGGATGGCTTTGCAAATTGTTGTTAGTATTTTGAATTTTATTTGTTGGGCGAGTGGAAGCCAGTGGAAGGATTGGCAGAGAGGGGTGGAGGACACTGAGTGGAAGCCAGTGAAGGGATTGGAAGGGAGGGGTGGAGGACACTGAGTGGAAGCCAGTGGAGGGATTGGAAGAGAGGGGTGGAGGACACTGAGTGGAAGCCAGTTGAGGGATTGGCAGAGATGGGTGGAGGACACTGAATGGAGGCCAGTGGAGGGATTAGAAGAGAGGGGTGGAGGCCAGTGGAGGGACTGGCAGAGAGGGGTGGAGGACACTGAGTGGAGGTCAGTGGAGGGATTGGCAGAGAGGGGTGGAGGACACTGAGTGGAGGCCAGTGGAGGGATTGGCAGAGAGGGGTGGAGGACACTGAGTGGAGGCCAGTGGAGGGATTGGCAGAGAGGGATGGAGGACACTGAGTGGAGGCCAGTGGAGGGATTGGCAGGGAGGGGTGGAGGACACTGAGTGGAGGCCAGTGGAGGGATTGGCAGAGAGGGATGGAGGACACTGAGTGGAGGGATTGGCAGAGGGGTGTAGGACACTGAGTGGAGGCCAGTGGAGGGACTGGCAGTCATTTATGACAGTTATTTGTGCTACAAAACCACACTTCTGCATTTCTTGCCTAGGTGAGAATGACATTTGTGCTTCCAGCCCCCATCCCGCAAATGTGCAGATGTGCCACAGGGCGCTTCCAGATCCAGAGTGAGTCCTGCGGCACATCTTCTAGGGTTGTCACCTCATCCCTTTAAATTCGAACACATATTAATGACACAGGTTCTGCGGCTGATTAAGGTGGTAATTAAACTCAGTGCCTTATCTGCAATTTATTAGCCTTAGAACCTCTGTCATTATTATGTGTTCCGGTTTAAGGGATGAGGTGGCAATCCTAACATCTTCACATGCGTAGGTTTCCCCGAACATCTGCAAATCCTGAACCTCCGCCAACTTCTCCTGTTTTGGCGGGCAGGGCCCTTTGGCACATCTGTGCATGCAAACATTATATATTGTTCCCCTATCAAAGCAAACGTTTCATGTGTTGACTGGAGTGTACCTTTCTAATTCTCCTGTTTCAATCATTTTTATTGTAATTTTTACCCAGAAAGATAGGTTATCTATGGTTCCCACATTTTCAAAGTAAGCCAGTTTGTCATGGAGGATGGCCGACATTCATTCGTTAAAACAATAGACACAGTGGTCACAGCATCCATTTCTTGATCTAGTATAACATATAGATTTGGGTAGAGATAAGATTCAACAGAAATTCAGAGATGATGTACCATATAGTTACACAGTTACATAGTTAGTCTGGCTGAAAAAAAGACAAAAGTCCATTCAGTTCAACCGTAAAAAAAAAAGAAAAAAAAAAGTTATAATCCTATACCCACAGTTGATCCAGAGGAAGGCAAAAAAAAACACAGCAAAGCATGATCCAATTGCTCCTGCAGGGGGAAAAAATTCCTTCCTGATCCCCCGAGAGGCAATCGGATATTCCCTGGATCAACTTTCCTATAAATGTTAGTATCCATTTATATTCTGTGTATCCAAGAAAGAATCCAGGACATTTTTAAAGCAATCCACTGAGCTGGCCAGAACCAACTCTTGAGGGAGTCTATTCCACATTTTCACAGCTCTTACTGTGAAGAAACCTTTCCGTATTTATTGCTTGGCTAAAGAACATAACTGACCAATCAAAAGATTCAAACATGTTCAGCGTAACTATAACTGGGCCTCCAGTAACGGAATACACTGACAATTGAGGGACAGTTCAGCGTGTGGTATGCATATGACTACTGCCCAGGGGCGGACTAACCATTTGGAAACTCGGGCACTGCCCGAGGGCTCGGGGTCAGTAGGGGGCCCCATGATATGCCCCTATACCTTTTTCATAGGCTTTTTTGAGTTTGGCAAGGACACAGGGGCCCCATGATCCCCTATTGCCAGGGGGTGCCTTGAGTTGTCAGTCCGCCGCTGCTACTGCCCATTTGGTTCCATGTGTTTCTAACGAGCTGTCAGACACTCACTTTTGAAAGAAGACACACAGGATAAACAATGGCAGGAGAGGCAAATCACCTAAAAGAGATACAAAAAAGGGGTAAAATAAGGGATGGAGATAAAAAAGAAGTAGAAAGAGAAAAAAAAAGGTGGGGAGGTGTATGTGCATTCTCCAGTCGCTATATTTAAGTCCCTCCAGCCAGGTCAGGAGGATCCAGAAAGATAGGTTATCTATGACTCCCACATTGTTTTCAAAGGACGCCAGTTTGTCATAGAGAATGGCCGACATTCATTCATTAATCATAATCCATGTCAACTTGGCCTTTAGAAGTTGGACCGTAGGGGCTTTCCAGGAGCGTGCAATGGATATCCTAGAATGCGATCAGGCGTCTCGCCCATCCCGGTACCCCCTTCACCAGCCTCCCTAATAGGGCCTGCTGCGGAGATTTCACTAAATTTACCTGGGGGAGAGAGTAAATTAAATCATATGTGCGGATCCAAAACCGTTTCACTTTAACTCAGGTCCACCAGGCGTAAAGAACCATTCCCTCCTTTCCATAGCCACGGAAAACAGAGGAGACCCCCGGGATGGAGAACGCCAGGCACACTGGTACCAAATACCACCTAAAAAAAACTTTATAATTGAGGTATTAATTTAAGATTTAGAAGCACATTGAGATCATTTCCCCCAACCTGCTGCCTCCAGCGTTTCATCTAAATCTAGTTCCCATTTTTCCATGTATGGTAATTTAGTAGTGTTCTCATGAAG